CCTCACTGCAAAGAAGTTTTTTCTCACTTTTGAATGGAACTTTCTATGTTCCAGCTTGTGCCCACTGCCCCTTGTTCTCTCACTGGGAACCACTGAAGGCTCCAATCCTCCTTCAACCCACCCTTTAGATACTTATAAGCATTAATAAGGTCTCCCCTCAGCCTTCTCTACTCCAGTCTCAAGAGTCCTAGCTCTCTCAGCCTTTCCTCATAAGGGAGATGCTCCAATCCCTTAATCATCTTAGTTGCCCTATGTTGGACTCTCTCCAGTAGTTCCCTGTCCCTCTTTCCCTCTTGAACTGGGGAGCCCAGAACTGGACACAGTATTCCAGTTGTGGCCTCACCAGTGCAGAGTCGAGAGGGAGAATGACCTCCCTCAATCTACTGGCCACATTCTTCCCTATGCATCCCAGGATTCCATTGGTGACAAGGGCACATTTGCTGCTTCACCATCCCTTTTCTGTATTTAGGAGGTCACTATGCTTCAGGGATCTCCAAGTTTTCTCCTCTGTGCCACTCTTGAGAGTCTACCACCTGTCTTCCAGCAACATGGACCTTGCCTGCTCTGGCAAGTTGCCCTCATTCCAGCCACAAATTTAGCTGTGCCTTGTGCTGACAAGTGGGCTGAGGTTTGCTCTTGTGAAGCCTGACAAGGGTTTGATGCAAAGAAGAGACCCACAAATTAAAAGAACTGCCAGACAAAGGATCAGCAGCACTTCAGTTTCTGGAAAGAAATCTTCTTATCGCTGCAGTGACATAAGTATCCTGCAAAAGGTTAATTTCCCTATGGAGATGGGGCACATGGCTGAATGTAGACCACTGGACAAATTCACCCAGCTGAATACCAGCTTTTCAGCAGCCTGCTCCCAGTTACCTTCTCCAGGCCTGCTGGAATTACCCAGAAAGCGCTCCCCTCCTCAGGCAAAGGTGGGGGACAAGGGCTCTGGCCTCATCTCTGCGTACTCCGTAGGCCATAAGACCAAGCCTTCCTCAGAAAGCCAAGGACTACTGCACAAGCAAACTGACCTCAATGCAGAAGCTCAGTCAGTCACCCGACAGCCCTCTCCCCTCCCTCTCTGCCCTCCTCCCACATTAAAACCAGTGAGAAAAATTAGTTATCAGCACTAATCTACTTGGCATTTTTGCTGTAGATCAAGGAAATTCTGGATCTTGCCAAACATTGTCCGAAAGATTTTAAACTGTGTATGTAGATATAAACATATGTATATATAAATAAAACTCTGTATAATTATGGCAATGTTTTTCCCTTCCTCTTCCTCTTTTCCCACCCCCTTTCCCTTCTCTCAATTTCTCAGACAATAAGTGGGAAACAACTTTTTTTTTTTCCCCCCCAAGCCAAAAATTAATTCCTGCTCAAAGCTTCCAGAAAGGGTCAAGTCTAGAGGAAGCATCTGGTAAATCTGCTTTTGTATTGCAGCGGGAGCCGTAGGCCTCACGTCCCCTTCCCTTCGCACCACGCAGGGCAGCCAGGGCTCGTGCCACGCTGGGAAGGGTTTGCTCCGCTGCACACGTATGCACCGGGGTGCACGCCAGGCGACAGCAGGTCCCACTCACCCCAGCAGCTTTTCCAGTTGCTTTTTTTATCCCCCTGGCCACAGATGGACTCCTCAGCTTCTCAGTCGGGTGGTTTGCTTGCGGGTTATATGATAAGGGGGTGTGCTTGCAGGGTCAAAGTCACAGCGTCGGGTCCTATCGTGTAACATACTGAACCAGGGGGTGTGCTTGCAGGGTCAAAGTCACAGTGTCGGGTCCTATCATGTAACATACTGAACCCACCAATAGATAAATAAATAAATAAATAAGAAATTGGCTTCTCTCAGCATCTCCCAATGCCCATCCAGGGACAGGCAATGGATGAGAGGGGACTGGGCCTGATCCTCAAGCACACCGACAAATGACTCCAATCCTGCACTTCAGTCCATCCACATGCCCGAAGTCAGTCAAACGCTTCACAGAATACAGTGAGGAATTGCCATGACTTTAAAATAACCAGGAAAGTTGTCAGCATAAAAATTAGGGCTTTTTTTCCCGCTTCACACACACAGAAAACCTTTAAAGCTTTAGAAAATATACACTCTGCCTCTTCCAGTTTCTTACTGTATATGCAAAGTTCACAGCAAAAGTAAACAGCAGAAAAGGCACTTCTGATGACAGTGAGCAACAGTACCTCCAAAAACACTATCTATATTGGGAGTGCAGCAGGAGAAGCAGCATCTTTAACTTATTCCATAACTGGGCCATAAGCATAAGCAGCTGCTGTGGCTAGCATCTCCTGAGCCACCCCAAGCTCTTCTTCCAGCCAAGACGGTGGAAAGGGCAGCAACTCACTAACCTCACAACTTAGTTCAAGGGGGAAGTAACTCAAGATTCAAATTCCAAGCAGCACTACCACCTGCAGAGCTTACAGTCCCATGTATTATATGAACAGGTTTGCTCAAAAATCAGACCGAAAGAAAAAAAAAAGAGATTAAAAAACAAACCCGTAAACACATGAGAGCCGTAGGGTACTGAGATCTCAGAAGAGAAAATCAGCACGCTCAGAGATTTCCACAGTAAAAAACTAGACTGGTATGGACCATCTTGCTTTTATGCTGCAGAAAATAATCTCTCTGCTTTGTGTGAAAGCTGAATGTATATGTGTCTTGATACGTACTGAAAATGCATTTTTTGCAAAAATCTCCTTACATTCATTATCTACTTATTTCTCATCTGTTCTTCAGCAAGTAGCTTTTGCGATCAAGAAATTATATGCAAGTTCTTCTGCACACAACATGGAAATTCTCATGGCTGTCACTTTATAACACTGTATAACCTACAGAATAAATCCTTCATAAATATCTGTTTTATCTTGTAGAGGTGGTAGGTCCAGTCCTGTGGTTTGCTAAGGATACTTCATGAGTCTGCTTTGACTAAGTAGCTGTAAGTTTAGACCATGAAATTAAAAAGAGGCAGGACCTGCTGTTCCTGTCTTCCAGCACCATCTTCTGACAGAAAGGACCCATTGGACCTTAGGTAGTTCAACATTAAGACAGTGCATTTTGAAACTGTTGAGCTTTGTTTTCCTCACAAAACCCATCACCAGCAAAAACCTACCCAAAACCAAGTTTAGAATGAATGTGTATATGGTTCAAAGCTTTTGAGGGCAGAGAGAGCACAGGCAACCACAGAGGAAGTTTAAAGCCACTTCCCTTCTCTCACAAACTTTAATCGAGAAGCAGCTGGGAAATTATTCCAAATCATTTCAGCTTCTTGGTGGGCCATTGTTCCATCAATGTAAGAAGCTAAATTTTCCTTATATTTAAAGGGTTTCATCAAAACCAATGAGAAGATTCACAATGAGAATTGTGCCCTTTGGATCTGTCCATAACAGGTCATTACACATGTAGCATTTAGAAGACTGAGGTCAAGACCCTGCCAAGCAAATGAGGGCCTCAGTATTTCTACTTGTTCAGGAGCCAAATATAATTGTATTGTGTGCACAGTTAGATTTCAGATATATTTGAAGAAATGCGTTTCAACTCTGAACTATTTATTATATTTACTGACATTCTCCACATCTTCCTGTTACATTAACAGGAAAATAATAACCCAAGCAGGTGGAGAAACCTACTCTTCAATTCCTTCCTCATTTGTCTGAAAATAAGGGTGTTTGCTTTACAGCTCAAAGTTAGTACGTATAAAGGTTTTAATTTTATGTCTGTTTCTGTTGTTTAAGCACCACTTCACACCAACTATAATATAAAACACAAACCCCTATATCCAACCTTACTGCACTACTGAAATGCGAAAGTTAATCAAGATACAGATTCAAGAGGGCACTTGCCCTGATTCTGTGTTGGGTATTTGTGTGATAGATGTGTTGCTCTTCCCTGCATCCACGTGAGATGCTGTGTAAGCACAACCTGCACAAAAAGCCTCGTGTGAAAATGGAATATCCCCCAGTACATCCTTGTACAAACCTGTTCTGATGAGTAGATTTTGGTACTGTCAGCCATAGGTTCCCTCCATACTTCCCAATGCTTTTATATAATGTGTGTTATCCTACCTGTTTTAAAAGACTCATGACAGCTTCAAGTTGTAATTCAAGTCTTCTTCTTAGGAACTACAGGCCTTATCAAGAACATACATAAGCCAAAAGCAAAGTCCTTTGGCAGTCTGCTGGACCCAGCTTCGGGGTGCTGCGCATCACGAGGATGGAAACATCAAATGAACTGCACCAGCTCAAGCTGAGCTTTGGAGGAGGCTAAGATGAGCTTGAATGAGCAGAAGCACCTTTTCCATTTTTGGATGGGCCTAAGAAAACATCTTTGCTCATTCAATCTCCCTGCCAAATGTAGGCTACAAAGAATGGAAGCTTCGGTACCCCTGCATGAGAACCAGTGGTCAACTTGGTAAATAAGTGGCTTTTGCAAGTCTGTCTGAGCTTGCTATAGCTCATTAGCAATCAGATGGCATGCAGATAAAGAAAGGTGAAAAGGCTATTAAAAACCAGATCTATTTCCCTATGAACACATTTGCTGTGGCTTTTGAAAAGTGCATACGTATCAATGAAAAAAAAATGTTTTAAGCAAGTTATTGCAGTGCAAAAGATAACACCTCCCACTGTGGGTTTGCTCGGAGCGTTACTGAGGCACGCCGTTCAATTCAAGGCTCAGCAAATATAGCCCATTATACAGCCCTTTGCATATTTACAGTAGTGCATGAAGCATTATTAATAGCTTACACCACTGTCTTTCTTTCATCAGTGGGAGGTAGGTCTGGCCGGTGAAGTATAATTGGTAATCTATTTTATATATGAATAAAATACCCTTTGGAATGCTTTGCTCTAACATTCACTTCTTGTTTGCTATTTGTTAAATGTATTGTTTGAAATGCTACCACCAGCTATTCATTCTTTTTCCGAGCAGCGATGCCATGACAACCCCCACGTGACCGGCTACAAACATACCACAAGTCTCCAGGGCTTTGCTTTAGGAAAGGCTCAGGCTGGTATTACTCATACTTTTGTTGTTGTTGTTGTTGTTGTTTTTAAAGCCCAGATTCAGAGATGCTTTATTTTGTGCAAGATGCATCGAGCCTACCAGCCAGTCTTACCATGTGGCAACAAGTATCTTCAGCTAAAATGGGACAAAGCAAAGTATGAAGAACACAAGAAAAGGGTAGGTACAACTGTTTGATAACAGAGCAGAGGCCTTCATGACAGAATAAGGTTGCAAGATGTGTACAGCATCTCTCTACTCATTCTTAATACTGTTACGAGAGCTATTGATCAGTGGTAAGGTACAAGAGACATGTTTTAAGAATATCCAGCAAACATAGGTATGGCTTTTGTGTCCATTTAGAGTTATCGTAATGATGTCCACCAAATTTAAAAGTGAAAAAGATCTGGTCAGTCATCTGCTCCAAATCAGTAATAATGGAGGACTGTTCCGTCTTGAAAATCCATAAGCAGTGAATACCATCAGTGATGATTCAACTGTATTGCTACCTTAAGAAGATTTTATCAGAAAATAATTAGCTTTAATACGAAGAAATAGTTCTTCATTATTTCCAGACAGGGTTTGTTTCATTAACTGTATAAAAATATCTTCCTTCCTTCCTTCCTTTCATTGTTCCCATAATTCGACTTGCAGGTGGAAAAAAGTTAAGGATGAGGTAGAGAATTGAATTTGACATATTTTTCTAACCAAATTGACAATATTGAAATAAATAAATAAATTTCCTTCTGTGTGAATTAACCTCGAGAGGCTTACGGTTGTGTATAAGCACGGCTATTTAAACAGTGGCTCTTTTAAAGCAGGGAACTGATATTAGTGTAGCTGAAACACTCTTCGGCATCCGCTGTACGTACAGAACTCTTCTTTGTTCAGCGCACAGAGCATTTCATACATGCGCTAAGGCATTCAGAGGCCAAGAATAGAGGTTAGATACCGTCATGATATATGGTGAAGAAATGTATTTATAGACAACAAAACGTTTCCCACGACTCAACAGCTCTTGTATTAAACACGAGTGTTTAATACAATTAAACACGAACGCAAGCAAAGAGGAAGAGTAACTGTCATGTTGGGCAACAGACAGCACAGAAGGTAAAGAATTTTGTTCCTTATTTCAGGGTTCACACCCAGCTCAGTGATGACTAAGAAGGTCTCCAATGGTCAAAGAGTGGCCTTTTCAAGTGTCCCTGTATTGTCATGCTGGTGTGCTCCTCAATTCCCACGCTAGTTGCCTGGAAATTCCACCGTGCCTTCTGCTGGCATGAATTCAGGCTTGCCATGGGGAATGCCAGCTACCAGGGCAGCCATACCCACGGGCTGGGGTGACTGAAGGCAGCAGGGCAATTCAGCAGCCCATGTGTGGCACAGGCTTTTGCTCTGCCAGGAGAGACAGGGATCGCTCTGAGAAAAAGCTCTAAGGGCTTCCGCTTGGTGATGTGCAGGCTTGGCATTGAAGGAGCTCACACGCACACACACAAACCCACCAAAAAACAGAGCAAGAGGGAAAGGGGAAAAATAGGGAGCAAGGAAGGAAAAAAGGTAACATGCCAAAAAAAAAACCCCAAAAAGGTACACTTCTTGGAGAAGACCACTAAAAGGATGGCAATGGTTAGGGATAATTTTCACCACAATGCAAAGATACAAAAAAAGGCCATGTTTCTATGTACACAAGAGTAAATACTTCCAGTCTGAATAATGTTTTATTTTCTTAACGAAGAAAGAAACGGGGGGGGGGAAGAACAGAGTTACATCTACTCTCTGCAATATTCTGCATAGAATTAAATATAAAATGGCTCCAAACCTACCATGGCTCTGGAAAGTCTCACAGTAGAGATTATGGTGAGCTTAGAAAATACCAGGTTTTACCTTTTACTGCTATGCATATAAGGACAGAAGGGAAATTAATCATAACACTCCCCAGAAAATGATATTATGTTGATATGAATTCCACAGAAGAAATGTTTTTTCTAAGCCCACCTTTTGTTGTTCAAGTTTGAAACAGTTTGCATAACTATAAATTAAGATCAGAATTTGCATAAATATCACATTTTATTCTTCACACCGGTGATTTCTACTGACTGATACAATAACAACCCTATTTTACAAATTGCATGTCTTCTTAAAGTTATTTTTAAAATAACTTAATAGCATGGTAATTTAAAGCATCTGAAGAAGCAGAGGAGCTAACAGCAGCAGAAGCCAAACCACTAACAGCCTTAGAGATTTACCAAGTTTAGTTCTGCTATCCAGTAAATATCAGCTACTTCACACGATGGGATCTAGAAAGGATTAAGATGAACATGCTCATCTCCCCCTGAAATCAGCTGGAGCTGAGAGCAGTTAGCCCCTTCTGGGATCCCACCTCCTCAGAGACAACTGCCACAAAAAAGCAGCTAAATGTTTTCACAAGAAGGCGGGCAGTTCAAGTGAATTTCAGACAAAGCTAGAAACTGCTAAACATTGTCCCAGTCAATGCAGTAAATTATTTGCCCCCGTTATAAAAGAAAGGAGCCTGTCCTGGTAGCGTGTATGACAGGTCTGCCATCAGGGATTCAAGCCTGCTTCTTGGCTTATCACAAAGCTGCTACAGAAAGAGAGGTGGAAACTTCTGCTGCACCCAGGCAGTGCTTTGGTCATGACCTACTGCATGGGGTTTGCATTGGTGCTGTGCCTGCTGCTCTTGGCAGCCTCTTTTATTTAAATAGCAAGTATTTCTCTCTGCTTTCTGTATCACTGAGTCTGCCTGAGATGGAACAGTTCTACTATGGGGTATGACAGAGGGAGAATGTTTATCACATGTATTTCATGACAAAAATCATAGAATCATAGAATCGTCTAGGTTGGAAGAGACCCTTGGGATCATCGAGTCCAACCATCTACCCTACTCTACAAAGTCCTCCCCTACACCATGTCCCTTAGCACTGCATCTAAACGTCCCTTAAACACAGCCAGGGATGGTGACTCCACCACCTCCCTGGGCAGCCTATTCCAATGCCCTATCACTCTTTCGGTGAAAAATTCTTTCCTAATGTTCAATCTAAACCTACCCTGTTGGAGCTTGAAGCCATATCATAGTATTGTTTTAATAAATTCAGTCTCACTCCCTGCAGGACCCAGTCTGAGAGAGAATGGTCTTCCCTCTAAATCCTGTCTTGCTCCATGGCCGTTACCAGCTTTTCTTCCACAGGGTTTCCTCAGTCCAAGACATCTCACAGATTATTCTTCTTTTTCATATATTGCATGGCTAGTTAGGAGAGGATGGAGATAAATATTATCATGCCACTGAACTACCAAGTCCAATTATTAGAATAATTAGATTCACAATTTGCTTTTGATGATCATTCTAATGCTAATAATAAGAAGCTTGGGAATACTGTCAACACAAGAAGTCCTTTTCCAGTATTTCTTACCTCTTTCTGGCAGCATCCTAAATGTACATCCCTTCAGAAGATCTGGCCCAATTTAGGAGTACCTAGGGCTTTCTTATACTTGTCTTTTTATTTCTGCTGAATACCTAATAAAAACTGCATGCCTTCTCTTAGACAGTCTTTCCTGTATCATAATATCAACACCACTGTAACTGGACTGTATTTATTTTACATTTCTCCAACATAAAGAGCACTTTGTATCTCCAGCAGACTTTAGAACAACTGCCTTTAACATTTCCACTTCCCACTACTCTTCTGGGCAAGTCTGGCTTTGCTGATGTAATGAATCATATGTTTAATAGCGTTACTGCTGGTTAACAAAACAGAATGTGAGAATTAAAAGATCTCCCGTAATGATATGCAAGGGTATTTCCAACAAAAATGGATAAACATTTCATTTCTGTTGCAGATCCAGACAGCAAAACCATTAGTGGACACAAGCGCCCCTGCAACATACAGCCACCTTCATCTGAAGTTAGGGAAACTGAAGGTATAATATTGGTTATATACACTGAGCACTAGCACGCTTACCTTCACATCTCCTCCCAAAGAAAACAAAGAGACTACCAGATGGTCACAATTACAGGGTCTTTTTTTTCCCATCGGTGCACAGTGATTGCTGCAACAGGACTATCAGGATCCACGAATAGCACACTCCCAGCCACATTAAATAACCTATTTTATCTTTATGATTATTGATGAAATCAGAGGGCTTCAGATTAACAAGTGCTAAAGCGTTCAAATAGCCTTCTAAAAGGTACTTCTGCACAACCATGAAAAAAACATGGCAAATAACAAGAATAGCACAATCATCAAGATACACACAGAGCAATGAACTGAATAATAGGATGTTAACATATTCAAAGCACAAGAAATAACAATGGATAGCCTTGACTGGCAGTTATCCTGAATTCAAAATCTTACTGCTCCCAAGAGGTGAACTTTTATTAAAAGATGAGAGTGGAAAATAAATGGTTACCTAATTAACTCTGCTCACTAAAAGGAAACAACAATGATTTAAAAAAATGAAATGTGAGCAAAGTAGAAAATATGTGCAGCTAAACCCTGTCAAAGACTTAATTTCCAACACAGTGCCCCTCAGGCAATGGGAGCGTAGCCCATGTAAGGACTTCAGAATTAATTTCCTTAAAAATGTTTATCTTCTCACTGCGCAACATTATAATCCCCAGGCACCTTTAAAGTCATTTCACTAGCAAAACAATTCATTTCTCCTCCATGCATAAAATCATATGCTATATTAGGAGGTGGGTTCAGTCGCTGTTGTTATTTTTTTCCTATTACTGTAAAAGTAACACTGATAAAGTTCCTTTGAAAATGAAACATTGCGTAACCTCACACATACAGAGGTTAACAAAAAAACCCAACAGGAACCCACTACTCTTAGGCATGTTCCTTTGAACTACGGGTCCTGGTACCTGGAAGTGAGACTGTGGTCCTAGTCTCTTTCTCATCCTTCTCTTCTCCAAACTGCTACGTACAAAAAAAAAAAAAAAAAAAAAAAAAAAGAAAACACTTAAATCCTAAGTCAAAGCATAAGTAGATAAATATTCAAAAAAAAAAAAAAAAAAAAAAAAAAAAGAAAAGTAAAACCTCTAATGTTGCAATCTTCTAGTAACCAGTTCTTCTTTATAATCATTCTCCTCAAGGCTATTCAGAGCTTGATGGGATTACTTAAAAATGTACCGGTTTTAGGTCGTTTTATACTACAATGTGACCAGCATCTGCTTTGGTGATAAACCCCAGCAAACAAGACAGACGCACTCGATTTCCTACAGAAACCTCCTACTTTAACATTGGCCACTCAAAACTATCAGAGTGGGATGAGCTCTGTTCATTTCATACAGGACATGCAGTATCTTTGGAGTGTCCAGAATCAAATTAAGAAAAAAAGGGGGAGAAAGGAGAAGAGTGAATTACCAGGCTCAAAATAAGACTATTTATTCAGTGGTCCTGTTCTGAGGGGCTTTTGAGAACGAGATGTTGAAATCCAGCTATGAAAAGGGTGCTTTCCCTGCTTTCCTCCATCCAGCCTCTCTCTGGCTACCTCCAAATCAGTCCTGCTGCAGAAGGCAGTTTTTCTCTTCACGTCTCCCCTATTTCTTCCCAGTTCCCACAAATGCACTTTTAGCATAGATTTGTGTTCTTCAAAAAACAATATGGTAATATTTTTCACAAATTAGGCAATGTCCCAGGCTAAAGGGATTCTCCCTCCTCCACTGGACTCCTTCAGTTTTCATCCCACTTCTGATACTAGGTTATTTTGCCCATTATATAGTGAATTTCAGAGATTATTAATAACCTTCCATTTTAAAACTGAAGTTAAAGAGACTTAAAATCATGCCAAGGATGAACAGAGCTAGCCTATACTGCCTCATACATCTCTCTCCGTTTGTTCGTCACAACCAGTTGTTACTTCTCTTCTTACACCAGCCTGCAACCCCTCCAGGACAAAAATGGCCTGCAACTGGCCCTAATCCAGATCTCACTGAAGTCAATGGAAAAATTATCATTTGATCCAAAACCCACCGAAGATAACAGAAAGACTTCCATGGTCTTCAGAGGAGTCTGGATGAGACCCGTCATGTGTTTGTACAGTGTCCATCTCAACAACGATAGATTTTGATGAGAGTCTGTAAAAGCTGCTAGAGGCACAAATGATAGTGAGGATCCTGGAAAAAGCATTGACAAATATTTACAGAAATTCTGTTTATACTGATGAAATGCATTTGCTAATGATGCAGGCCGCTGCTGGTGTGGTTGCAGGAATGTGTATCAGAGTTGAATTCACAGCATTGGGAAGGGCTTTCTCTTGTTGTATCACCATTAAAATGTTGAAACAAAGGGTTCTGTCAACACTAGCGCAGAAGTTTTACCTGATCAGTGTAACACCCTGTTAGGTATCCATGCTGTTATGTATCACTGCTGCTTGCTATGGCCTTGTAAAAGCGGAAGCATTTTTTTATCCCTTTTTTACACAAAGTTGAAGGAAGACCGACTTTCCGTCATCAAAAGAGACAACTGTTTGCTGCTGGAGAAGATGTCCTGCATCATGAGAACAAAGGGACAAATCGACAACAAAAATGACTATAGGGCCAAAAGGTAACATCAGGAGCACTATTCCTATGTAGTTATCAAGTTACCTTCCCAGTGACAAACATAGCTAAGGATCAACTGCTCTGTGAGGACACGTATTTTAAAAGGCAGCCCAAGGTATAATCAACACTTCAGAAAGCCATTTGCTCGTCCTGTTACATGAAATCCAATGCCAGGCCATTTTCCTCCTACCTTCTGTTGAAGAGAAGGTGGCTTTAAAATAGGTTTTCAGTTTAATAACTGAGGGAATGAAAAAAAATGGGGGAAAATGAGAGAAAGAGAACATTGCCCTACTTTTAAGGGAAATAAATGAAGTAAACCTATTATGTCTCAGCAAAGCTGTTGTTCCTGCTAAGTGACTCATTGCTGCTGACTTTGCCAGTTTTTCCTACAGACACCACCGGAAAAAGGGAGATCCAAAGCTGAGAGATGAAATAAAAACAGAGCAAAGAATAGAAATAAAATTAAAAAGAAAAGTGGAGCAGGAAGCAGGCAAAAGTGAAAATATAATTTACTGCTCAAAGCAGACTAGGCAAAATAGGCCTTGAGGATTTATCACTGGAGAGAACAACCTTACATATTTTTGATTCAGGAGGAAATTCATACCCCGAATAGGACACAGCAAACCAGCCAACAGCAGGGACAGGCTTTTGAAGTCAAGAGAATGCTTTGTACAACTCAGGTGGCAGCTGTTACCTCCTGTGATTCATTTAAAGACAGACTACTTCATGACAGACTCATTGCTCATTGGGCCCTAAAGTGTCTCCAGACAGCAAAAAATGCAGCTCAGGTGCAAGTGACCTAGGTAGAACTCACTAAAAGTCACCGTCTCGAATATCCTGACATCTGCACAGTTCCTTGGGAAGACAGAAATTATTTGAAACAGAGTTGGTCATGTCCATGTCATGCAAATCCACATCATAGCACTTACTGCTTGTCACTAGTGAATAATACCCAGATCAGTGCAGGCATCAACAAGCTTCAGTTAACTCTGCTACTGAAGGTGGGATTCCACAAGAGATGGAAGGAGCAGAGCATCCTCCCCCATTTCATTCCCTCCCTCCCTTCCTGATTCAAGTGGCAAACCCTTGTTGTTTTCTTTGGATCAACTCTGGTTTTCATCAAACCTCTCCATTAGCTAATTGAACTTGAGACAGCAGCAGAAAACTAACCCAACAAAAACAAACAAACCTGGATAGTTTTTCTGCCACTTTCTGCAAACTGATGAATTCCAGGGCTGGTGCAAGGGGTGGAAAAGACCACACAACTGGGAGCAACAGGGCGGTGAGCAGGGGAAGGAAAAGAGCAAGTCCTTCCTTTTTTTGGTGGCAGGAGGCCGCTACAAGGTCAGCTCAGCTGCCTGGGAAATTACAGTCTAAGAAATCACAGAAAGTCTCCAAGGCATTTGAGGCAGTATGCTTATCTCCATTATCTTCATTGCTTCCCAACTTGGTTCATCAGGTTTGTACACAAATTAAAGGTATAAACCAAAGTAACTGAAATAGTTGATCATAAAGGGTCTCAGACACTGGCCATGCCCTCACCTACAGTACTGCACTACAGCAATTCCAAGACTGGAGGGTTGGCATTAATCTGAGATAAAACTAGCATTTTTCCTCTTGTAAAATGTACCAAACCTCCATACAGGCAGGGCTGCATTTGGAAGATACTGAACAAAGACTATTCTCTTAAGAAGGACAAAAGGATTGGGTTGCAAGGGCCGGTTAATGCAGATCAAGGAGGAGCAAGTCCCTGTAGGAGAGGTATAAAACCTTTAGGCAAATTTTCCCCTGACACAAGATTGACAGATACTTCACATTCTGGGTTGGCCGGGGTGGGAACTCAAACAAGCATGAAGAAGTTTGATTCTGCTTATATTGTTTTCCTCTCTAGTTTAAATGGAGAAAAACGAAAGCAGGAGCTGCGGAGAGTGAACCAGGAGAACCGCGCCATTCTGGATAGAATTACAAAGACCCAGCCTCAGTATCACGTTCAGCAATGGCACGAGGATTGGCAACGAGCTGAAAAATACATGGCCAACATTGCGAGATATCCTCGGGGGCGGTGTAAATCACAGAGCCAAAAGGTAGCCCTGAGCTTCTGTCCTTTCCTTCCCAGTTATTTCTAGATTGGAACTGCCCGTAGAGCGCGTCTTGCACTGGGGATTAACTGCACGTGGCAGCCAGCCACACAATTAACAGCCTTTCATTTAGACAGCCACTCTTATCAAATGAATCCCAGAATGCTCGTCAGACTTTATTAGGTGATTTGTAAGGGCTGTGCTTTCTACAGTCAGACCGGCCACCATGCTGAGAGACGGTGCTCTCAGAAATAAATCTAAAAATAATTAAAAAAAAAAAAGAAGCAATGACTTACCAGTTCTCTTAGAAAAACACCCAAACACTGCAGGAACATTTAAAGTGACCAAGTGGGCATATGCATTGAGACCTACACCAGCCATTCTGCGCAAAGTAACCAGCTTCTTATTTTCATTAGTAACAGAGGTAAAGAAATCAACAACGGAACAGCTATGTTCAAGTTCAAGCTTTCCCAGAGAAAGAAAATTAACAGTCTTTAACCTTTCCACATCCAGGCTCCCTAGCTTTGAACCTACTAACTCCCAAACTCCCAACTTTCCTCCCAAACCAGAGGGAAGCTGCAGCACTGCCCACCAGGCAGGGAGCTGGCATCAGCTCGGCATTTGCCTGTGTTTCCTATCACCTTGGATTGATGGGCCTCCATGGTTTGGGAGGCCTTGTCTTGATTTGGGAGGGACGTCCTCCATGCAAGTCTGATTCAATATATACGGGTGTTGCTCAGCCCCTATATTCACTACCTGACTCATTACCTCTAGCCTGAGGCCACTGAAATAAATCTTTTTTGAAGTCTGTAGTTTCTGAACATACATAAAAAGATTTCCAAATGCGTAGCTCATCGAAATCTATCTGAGTCTTTGGAGGACAGTAAGTAGTATTTCTTTTATCCCAGGACTATCCTTCTGCCAAATCATTGGTCCCAGTTCTAATTCCAGAGGATTTGCTCAGGAGAGGCAGAGCACTCGAAAGTAAAAGCAATAAAAATTGTGGCATTGTAAGCAAGAAACAGTACCTCTAACAAGCTTCTGTCCAGAGACCATTCTTGAATACAGATATCTCATTTTTAATAACAATTTCCAAAACTATTGAGTCTGAGGCAGAAAGCAAGTATAGAAAGCTTCAGCCCAAACAGTTCAGACTTGACAAAGAAATAAGGAACTAAAAGAGAGGCTTCTACAATGGAAAATATTAGGCAGCTTTAATTACTGTGGAATACAAGTCAAAGAAATGTATTAAAAATAGTAAGGTTGTAAAGCAGGTGCTCCATCAGAGCAATCAGAAAATATGAAAATTATGTCTGGAAGATATTTTTTCAGGTATGAAAATATATATATATTGAATATATATAGATGAATAAAAATATTAGGCAGCTTTAATTACTGTGGAAGTATCATTGCAAGCCAAAGAAATGTATTAAAAATAATAAGGTTGTAAAGCAGGTGCTCCATAATCAGAAAATATGAAAATTATGGCTGTAAGATATTTTTTCAGGTATTTATATATTCACCAACTTTTGATTTTGGCAGATTTTTATAAATGCATAAACAAATTATCATAGAGAACTAAATACATCCTGTGGCAGATTTTTATAAATGCATAAACAAATTCTCATAGAGAACAACCTTCAACCTTCCCCACATCAACTGTTAAGTCTGTGCTCTGTAATGAATAGGTACTAGAAGACCTGTAAGAAGTAGTCACTAGAAAACATTTTTTCCAGGTGAAAAATCCAGTGTGATTCTGTTTTTCTCCAGAATCAAGGCAGTGACAGGTTCTTTTTTTACACACAATTATATTGATTTCTCTCTTTTCTGGCAGGAAGAGCAATTTAAAAAGAAAACATCTAAACAAGACAGAAAAAGAGAAAAGCAACTGAAAGAAGAAGGTGTGAAGAGGAAGGAAAAAGAAAGAGAACATGTCCACCACGGAAAGGGAAAGAACAACTAGAACAAGACCGAGTTCCGGAAATAGCATTATTCCAGTAGTCTCCTGTGAAAGCAATTTAGGAAGTAGCAAAGGGCTCTTAGTCTCTCTTGGGTAAAGACTGCATTTGGAAAATTTATTGTTCTCAGCCTTCTGCTTTGCCCTTATTCTGGAAATGATTCCTTTCCTGGCATGGTGGACCAGGAGAACGGGGGGTTGTGAGCTCATTTTGTGATTGACACCCTGTGCATCAGCATACTCTGATTTCTGTACTTTAACTTACAGAAGTAGTCACTAGAAAACATTTTTTCCAGGTGAAAAATCCAGTGTGATTCTGTTTTTCTCCAGAATCAAGGCAGTGACAGGTTCTTTTTTTTACACACAATTATATTGATTTCTCTTTTTTCTGGCAGGAAGAGCAATTTAAAAAGAAAACATCTAAACAAGACAGAAAAAGAGAAAAGCAACTGAAAGAAGAAGGTGTGAAGAGGAAGGAAAAAGAAAGAGAACATGTCCACCACGGAAAGGGAAAGAACAACTAGAACAAGACCGAGTTCCGGAAATAGCATTATTCCAGTAGTCTCCTGTGAAAGCAATTTAGGAAGTAGCAAAGGGCTCTTAGTCTCTCTTGGGTAAAGACTGCATTTGGAAAATTTATCGTTCTCAGCCTTCTGCTTTGCCCTTATTCTGGAAATGATTCCTTTCCTGGCATGGTGGACCAGGAGAACGGGGGGGTTGTGAACTCATTTTGTGATTGACACCCTGTGCATCAGCATACTTTGATTTCTGTAGTTTAAGTTAAAATATCGCTGTTCCTATGCAGGTGATAATTTCTAGCATCAGGAAAGACTGGGCTTGTGATGGTGGTAACCTTTTCAGCTACGCAGCTAAACTCAGCAAAAATTATAAGCAGATAATTTTTGGGAGAAGCAGGTGGAAGGACTCCTACAGTTTAGCATACTAGGGGTTCAAGTATTCTGTAAGAGTATAGATTTTAAACACACTGCATCTTCAGTATAGTGAAAAAAGCATAAAGCAGAATAGCATAAAAGCCACTTCCCTTATAATTACCAACAAAACTCCTTTGAATTTATAAAAGCTAGCAAAGAAGGAGCCTAACTAGGAAAAGGATTGTAGCAGAGCAACTGTAGCATAGCTAATTGATCTGATTCAGATTAGGGCTTTTTTTTCCACATGACAATTTTCATCTCGGTATATCCAAAGATAAAAGCTAGCAAAGAAGGAGCCTAACTAGGAAAAGGATTGTAGCAGAGCAACTGTAGCATAGCTAATTGATCTGATTCAGATTAGGGGTTTTTTTTCCACATGACAATTTTCATCTTGGTATATGCAAAGCCTTTCCAGTGAGGACCCTCTTGGCCAACAGTAAATACTTCAGGGTGAGGGTTTTGGAAAGTCTCCAGAGGCTGTCTGAAGGAGAGGCTCTCTGAAGGCTCCTTGGACCAACGCCCTCCCAGCACAGCCAGAGAGACCACTTCCTTCTTTACGCACGATTTTATGCAGTTTTTCTGTCAGTCACAGTAACTGCATTCACAGAGCAGAAATACTAAAAATACATGAAATTTGCTTCTAGCTTCCCTTTTAATGGGATTTAGCAGCTTGAAATGAGGAGAAACAGCACCATGTGACACATTGGCTCTCTGCGTGTTACAATTTACCACTCTGTCAGACCATCATGGATTTCCAGTTGAGGGGACAGACACTTCTGTTCTAAAATGTATATTTCCTGTTACTTATTTTTTAATTCCACTTCTTCAGAATAAAATGTGTATTAAAATCACAAGCTGATCCTAGCATAGCCAAGCAGGGCAGCAGCAGTTCTCGGAAGAGGCATCAATTGAAAGCGAGCAGGAGGGAAGAAGTATCAGCTCTCGCTTTATCTGAAGTAGAATTTAATCTGTAATCATTTTGGAGGCTGCCGACTTTCCAAGTAGACACTGCAGCAATAACTATTTACTTCCTGGCACTTGAAAATGCTTTCTAAGACGTTTTCTCCTTTCTCATTTGCAGTATGGTTCAGACAGTAATGTTTGAAATGCTAATGATGAAAACTTACTTTAAGAAGCACAGAAACTCTATAATACAAGACTATGTATTTATAGTCCTGGCCTGAGAAAACAGAAATAACAGCTACCATAACCACCAACTCTCCAATACTTCAGTGACTCTGCCATACAACTGTGAGCTTCTGACTCCAGAAAACGCACAGCTTCCCATGGCAGGATCCCCAAACCCACCACACTAGAGAGAAGAGTTTCACCATACCCAAGTGCCTGAGTCAAGAAGGAAAAAGGGTTCATGTTTGCCCAAAGCAATTGTAGGACTGTGCTGTGGCAATACACATCCTACAGCATGTTGAGTATGCCCAGACCCAGTGTAGTGGGGGTGACCCATATGAATTCATCAGCCACAGGGCTCCAGGGCTCTCAAGCCACCAGCCGTGATGGGACAGTGCCAGGACAGACAAATTCAGCCTTTGTCATGCACCTCTGTTACAGCAATCACATCGGGCAAGCACGTGTCAGCTCTTCCCTCCAACTCTTCCCTCGTTTCTAAAAGAAGGGTTATAGACCTTTTAAATAAAAGCCAAAAAGACAGTAATTTAATGAACCAAAATTTCCTGCACTATCAGAAGGAAGAGGCCAGCTTGGCTTTAATAGCAATTCTATTTTTAAATGAAAATGTCCTGTGCCCTTATGGCTGAAGTCAAACACCATGAAGTCCCCTACTTCACATGGTTCCAGGTTGGATCATCAGGGCACTCTGTAAGGGACCAGCTATCCATAACAGGTTATATCATTAAACCAAACAAAATTCTTGTTTCCTTTTCTTCTTTAAAACCTTCAGAATGGGATGATAATAACCTAAAATGTTTGACCAACTGCCACTTGCCTTACAATTAAGTAGAAATGTGTTACTCTCTTCAAATCCCTGCCTTCAAAGTTAAAACGCTTTGCTGCTGAAACACTGGTATGATTACAAGCCAAATACTTGAAACAAAAGAGAACTAAAGTACCACCATAAAAAGGAGTGTTAAGAGTTACAGGAAATGTTAATCTGAGGGACAAATTCTGCTGCCATTTTCACTACTGTAAATCCTGCATCAGCCACAGGGCTCCAGGGCTCTCAAGCCACCAGCCGTGATGGGACAGTGCCAGGACAGACAAATTCAGCCTTTGTCATGCACCTCTGTTACAGCAATCACATCGGGCAAGCACGTGTCAGCTCTTCCCTCCAACTCTTCCCTCGTTTCTAAAAGAAGGGTTATAGACCTTTTAAATAAAAGCCAAAAAGACAGTAATTTAATGAACCCAAACTTCCTGCATTATCAGAAGGAAGAGGCCAGCTTGGTTTAATAGCAAATCTATTTTTAAATGAAAATGTCCTGTGCCCCTATGGCTGAAGTCAAACACCATGAAGTTCCCCACTTCACATGGTTCCAGGTTGGATCATCAGGGCGCTCTGTAGGGACCAGCTATCCATAACAGGTTATATCATTAAACCAAACAAAATTCTTGTTTCCTTTTCTTCTTTAAAACCTTCAGAATGGGATGATAATCTATTTTTAAATGAAAATGTCCTGTGCCCCTATGGCTGAAGTCAAACACCATGAAGTTCCCCACTTCACATGGTTCCAGGTTGGATCATCAGGGCGCTCTGTAGGGACCAGCTATCCATAACAGGTTATATCATTAAACCAAACAAAATTCTTGTTTCCTTTTCTTCTTTAAAAGCTTCAGATCAGGATGAAAATAACCTAAAATGTTTGACCAACTGCCACTTGCCTTACAATTAAGTAGAAACATAGACGTGTTACTCTCTTCAAATCCCTGCCTTCAAAGTTGAAACGCTTTGCTGCTGAAACACTGGTATGATTACAAGCCAAATACTTGAAACAAAAGAGAACTAAAGTACCACCATAAAAAGGAGTGTTAAGAGTTACAGGAATTGTTAATCTGAGGGACAAATTCTGCTTCCATTTTCACTATTGTAAATCCCAACTAGCAGCCTTATCTTTACAAAAATTGCTGTGGATATAACAACCTTACACAGAATCATAGAATCACAGAATGATATGGGGTGGAGATCATCTAGTCCCACCTCCCTGCCAAAGCAGGTCCACCTAGAGCAGGTTGCACAGGAACGTGTCCAGGCGGGTTTTGAATGTCTCCAGAGTTGGAGACTCCACCACCCCTCTGGGCAGCCTGTTCCAGTGCTCAGCCACCCTCAAAGTGATGAAGTTTCCCCTCTTGTTTAGATAGAACTTCTTATGTTCAAGTTTGTGCCCTTTTCCTCTTGTTCTGTCACTGGGCACCACCGAAAAAAGACGGGCCCCGTATTCCTGAGGACCGTGTCAACCCGTCTTTTGAACACCTCCAGGGATGGTGCCTCAACCACTTCCCTGGGCAGCCTATTCCAATGCTGGATAACCCTTTCCATACAGAAAATTTTCCTAATATCCAATCTAAACCTCCCCTGGCGCGACTTGAGGCCATTTCTCCTTGTCCTGTCTCCTGTGACTTGGGAGATGAGACCGACCCCCGCTTCTCTACACCCCCCCTTCAGGTAGTTATAGAGCGCGATATGTTCTAGTCCACTAATCATCTTTGTAGCCCTTTGCTGTACCCTCTCCAGCAGTTCCCTGTCCTTCTTGAACTGGGGAGCCCAGAACTGGACACAGTACTCCAGATGTGGCCTCACCAGGGCAGAGTGGGAGGATGACCTCCCTTGACCTGCTGGCCACACCCTTCTTGGTGCACCCCAGGATGCCATTGGCCTTCTTGGCCACAAGGGCACATTACTGGCTCATGGTCATCCTGTTGTCCACCAGGACTCCCAGGTCTTTTTCCACAGAGCTGCTCTCCAGCAGGTCAGCCCCCAACCTGTACTGGTGCATTAAGAAACCATGTCAAAAAACTCATGATGCAGTTTTAAAGATGGCTGGGCTGAGCTTCACTACCAGCTCACTGCCGGGAGAAACACGAGGTCAGTCTCCCACTTTTAGCCCCCTCCTTGTGCCCCTCTTCTGTTCTGTTTATCTCACACTGCAAACCCCAAGCAAAGTCAGGTCCAGGATAAAAGTCACAAAAGAAAACTTTTTTCTTTTCTCTTTTCTTTTTTTTTTTTTTAGAAAGGAGAACAGTTTTCCAGTGGGTTAATGAGTTGAACCAGTTCATTGAAGATTAATTTAAGTTTAACAACACAGCTTCTGCGAGAAAGAAGTAAAGCCACATATTCCATTGG